TTCAGCATGCTTGTTGCCCATTTGGCAAATCGTATACCTAAAATGAGTACTGCTTGTCTCTTGCGCCACGACATAGGGCAATTCAAAAATATTTGTAGCGAAATGGCTATTTCGCTTATCGAATAAGGTGCGAGGTTGAAAATTCGCTGGGATATTCCACTTTCAAGTGTGATCTTAATTCTGCTTGGAAGCGAAATTCCCTGCAGGTGGGCATGAGAAATACTCAACTTTACCGAAAAATTAGAAACGAGTGCATTTTGCAGTGAACAACCGCCCTCATCTTTTTCCAACATGTAAATGAACTCATCTGCATATTTTAATTTTTTGACGAACGATCGCTCTAGCAACGCTTCCACTTTTCAGTAAACTGGGAATTTGCATTTTTTTAAAAAGCGAGTATTTACCAGAAAAACGGCCGGGCTTCATGCAAAAAACTGATAGTCAAGTACCTGGAGGTTAACGCTGACCTATGATGCAACACCTTCATCCCAACCGACGCCCTTTCTGCTGTATGTCGTAAGAGGCCAGAGCACGGCCAAAATGAGCCCGATTGTTAGGCTACAGTGCAGGGGTCATTCCTGCTATTAGCCACCTGCGAGTTTAGTGCAAAAACGCGCTATCGCACCGGCAAGCCTGGTGCGTTCCAGACTGAGATAAATCAGTAGCACAACACGTCCCTTGCCCAACCAACCCGCTCCTGCAGGAAGAGTTTCATCGATGCCGTTGATACATTGTTTTCGACTGTTCGACTGAAAGACTAACTATCTTTTAAGAATGAGTTCCGCAAGAATTTGAATTTTATTTCTAGTAAAAACACCTCAATAAGCTGTTGTAGATAAACCATACCACTTTACTCATTTAGTAGAGTAAACTTCTCAGACATATTCATTCATGGTTCATTTATATAGATAAACATTACCACACACAAAGATTACGACACATATTTCAAAGTATTTACCGCTTTGATAATAAACTCAATTATGTGACCAAGAAAAAATGGATGGCACTGATGAAACTTTTCCTAAAGAAGCGGATTTGGTGGACAAGGGACATGTTCTGCTACCGACTTAAAAATGAAAGGAAATGGTATTCTAAAATAAACATCGAAAGCTGGCTCGCAAAAGTGTATGCGGCCAATTCCACAAATTCAGATTTAACCAGACCAGCAGGTGTTAGACCGAGGCTCTCCAAATGTCATCGTTAGGCTAACATAACTCTGAGAACTCACGGCGGCCCGAAATAATTGCTGTTTTCTTTGTAACTCATCAGTTACACGGAGCCAGTGCCTCATCAGTTAGAAGAGACAGTGCCTCGAAATTTGTCGCAAACAGGTTTCGCGTTTGAGATCGACAACATACATACAGACTGAGCTGGAGTGTCCTTGTGTTTTGGAGAAGGTTTTTTAGGACACAGGATGTGTGAATGTGTGTAGAAGTTAGCTTTACTCTGGCGGGAATTTGACACTTGAAAGCTGCAGGAATAAAACACTTGAAAGCTGCAGGAATTTGAGCTTATATTGTGCAAGACACAGTACTGAAGTTTGTTTGGAAGTGGGGAAAATGTTCAGGAAAAAAGTAATTAAACAGTTGATTTTAATTTA